GACCTAGATCTAAGTGGGAAATCTATGGGAATGAAGTATTTCCATCTTATTTTTGTTTCTGACCACAGTTTATATGACTATTACTACATGTGAGTATAGAAGAGCAGGGTGTGGGATTTGGAAATGACTTTAACCCTTTAGTTTCTAGACACAAACTGTGATCACTGGAGCATCCTTTCACCTAGGTTGGCAGGTGGAGAAGACGACGACGACCAAGGCAGCCATGTTTTCATTTGTTCTAAAAGTAGCAGGTGTGACTGTCATTGCGCAGATCCAAATCTCAGGGACTGCTCAGAAACACAGTCCCTGTCATTAGTGCCAGCCCTTTCCCGTACGGAATCAAACTAGAATAACATGGTCTGGGGAAAATCTTAGAGAAATGATTTCTCTAAGATCATATTTAGTGGGGAAAAGTTGAGAGATTTTTCTCTAAGATCCCTAAAATACTCTTCTCTGCCTTGAGCTGAAGGTCAAGCTGACTGCAGTACTGAGCCCCCTCAGTTTGACAGGCAAAGAGCAGGGGAACTGGGTCTTCTGATTGGCTGGGGATTAACTCATGCGGTTGGGAAGCACAAATTGTCTTCTTGCACTCATAAGTGCCCAGGTCACAAGACAAGTTGAGTGGCTTCCTTGGTATGGGCCACTGGTCTTACTGGGTCAGCTGGTCCACCACCAGCCAGGGCCTGGGAGATAATCACAAAGACCAGCCTTAGGTTTCACAAGCGTTATGTGGTCTATGGGAGCAATGAAGAAAGTTAAGAAATGTTATGACCCTTAGGCAACTATAGGAAAGCAAGCTAAGGAACAATTACTGGTTACATTTATTCTGACTATGACCATAATTTTGCATAGTTCAGGCCTCTACCACAGTTCCCCTCTTATGTCCCTTTATTAATCTTATAAAGTGTGGTTTCAGATTTGTGATAGAATGTGGAAATTAGTGCCATAGGCCCAGAGTGTCTTTCAGTGAAAAAAGAAACAAAAGACCAGGAGGCTGAAATGCCTGCTCCAACACCAAACAACCAGGTGGCCACTGATCCAGGGCTGGACCTAGACCTCCTGACCCCTCAGTCAGTTCTTTCAGCCAGGGGATAAGTGTCCTCTCCAGAACTCCTCCTCACAGTCAAAGGCCTTCAAGGTCATCTGACACCCCCCATGATGCCTTTCCAGACTCTGCTCAGAAAACTGCCTGGAGTGGAACACCCCAGGCTCACCAGCAACCCAGTCTCTAATAACCCCTGGTGAGCCGGGTGGTGGGATGGAAACTTCTCAGCTTAGCCATCTCCCACTCATCCTGACCACATGTGACCTTGAATAAAGTTCTCCATGTGTCTGATCCTGTTTCCTATCTGTACAATGGAAATTTGACAGATGAATTACTAATTATGGCTCCCACCAAGGTTATGGGGATTAAATGAGGTAAGGTATGTAAATCCCCTTGGAATCCTTCAAACATAGTAACATCTATACTCCCTGTTGCTCCCTAGCCTAGAAAGAAATAAATGTACATCACAGTTAAAAGTTGAAAGAAGAGCAAATGAACAAGCATTTTGTGCATACACACCACACACACAATTATACAGTCTAAAGATTGTTTTGAACAAAAATTACCATTCATATCATTTACAAAAGTTGGAAAAAATATTTAAACATCTATTACCATGCATCGAAGAGTACTAAAGAAGCAAACACAGGTGTGGCCAGGAGCCCAGAATAGAGGAAAACTAGAGACCTAATACAACATTATGTACCACTTTGCCCCCTACATATTCTGCAGGTCACATGCAGCAGCTACAAAGCTGGAAATCTGAGTAAATAAAGTTTCCAGCTGTGAACACATACATAGTTCACACTTGAAAAAAATGGTGATGACTAATTGAATGAGGGAAGGAAGAAATGAAAAGAAATAGGTAGGGAAGAAAGAAATCTATAATAAAAAATAAAATTAAATTACCTAGTGCTGATGTTTTGGTTCTATCTATCCTGTTCTGGGCATAACTTATTGGGCATAACAAGGCTCTAGGACTAGAGTTTTCAACAGCCAGGCTGACACACTATAGACATTGCAGCAACACGTCCTCATAGTGACATTATGATATATTTATCTGGAAAGATCCTGCCTGTCAGCATGGCTGTGTTTCAGTGAGAAGCCTGGGCTCTAGCCACCCACGCCCAGGTGACATTCTTCCTCTGCCAGTGGGGAGGGTGGTGGCTACTGGGAAAATGGAGATGCAGGGCAAAGGTGCCCTGTGACCTTGGTGGACATGTCTATGAGGCTGATGGACACTTTCCTCTGAGCACCTTTCTCTGCTAAGAGACCTACACTGACCCCATTCAGAGTTATAGAAAAAGTTTCAATCTTTGACCTTTTTTTTCCAGATTCCATGGAATTTAGTGTATAGTGGTATAGGAAATTAGAAATATTTCACCCCAAAATATATTCCTTTCACATATTTGGGGATGG